GGCCTTGGCTTCATTTGGCATTTCCAAATAGGCGTCAGTTTATACAGAAGAGAAACGACTTGCGTACTGTTTTGGACTCGGCCAAAATCGCGTAGGCGGTTATAGCGCCAAATAAGAAGGAAAAGAAAAGCTTTGTGCGCCCCAGATGCTTTTGCCCAAGCAAGGAATGGTCTAGACCCATCATGAATGTATGTCTTGTCTGGCAAAAGATTCAGTTGGTTATTTTTATGTAACTTGAGTTGATTTGTTTATTTTAAACCCATCACATATCCCTTTAACTGCAACACCACTTTTTAGTTTTTCAATAATACTGGTAAGTCAAAGAAAAGCAAAAAATTCAACTTTGTGTGTGTGGCATGCATAAACAAAGGATGTTGTAGGTATTGAGGTTGAATTGTTTTGAAGTTGCATTTATAAAGGTTACAATGTTTTGTTTTAGAGACTTGCTTTAATCAAGAAATTGCAGGTATAGACTTGCTTTAACCAAGAAATTGCACGTAATGCACTGCAAATATTTTTCATGGGATAAATAGAAATGAAGCTACGAAGAATTATAAAGCTCAACCTATGAAGAGTGCGCTTTAAGACCTTAAGTCCAGATCTGGGGGGCTATTCAAAATTCTAAGTATGCATATTTTTTGTGCTTCAATATATCTATAACTTTAGCAGTCATACAGTGTTATAATCCCGACCCGGAGGGGAACGGTATATGACGGTAAGAAGTTTAGTTTGGGTTAAAGTATCACACTGACGGGGTTAGGCGCTCGACGCTTCCTCCCCGTGAAATAAACATGCGCAGTAAAAGGTTAACTATTTAAATCGACGAGTAGTTTTATATCAACTTTTGTGAACTTCTGTTTATGTGTTTTTGTACAACATACATACCTCTATTGGTTACAATAATCTTAAGCTATAATAAACAATTTTTTAGTAAGGAAGTTTTGAACAATTTTCATTCTCGCTACGCCCATGTTTTTGCCCTTTACTCTTTTTTGTTGCTTGTAAAATTACACTGGTCTACAAGGGTTTTGCGAATAAGACGGGACCTGGTGTTTCCGAACGGATTTTTCGTGCTGAACACGAATCTGGGGTCCAAAACTTCCCATCACGTCACGTTTTCGAGAAAAAAGGGGTTGAAACCCCTAAAAACAGCGTTTTTGGCCATTTTTGAAAAATTGTAGAGCTGAACCCTGACGTGCTACAAACTTTGTATATGTCAGAAATTAAAGGCTAAATCGTGCCCTTTCGAATGAGCCCTATGCCGAATTAATCGCATGCACCCTTAGATCAGGGGGTGTATTTGTGTCTAGGAGTCCAGGGAAAATTGATCGCAGAAAGAATTTCATCTTAAACGACCATATAAAATGAATGATGCTAAGGTCTTAACTACATTAAGAGTCGCTGATTACGAATCTGAAGTTAGATTTTAAAAATTCAAAATGGCGGATCCAATATGGCGGACTTAAAAATTTTTATTTAGCGAATTTCAGTTTATTTTTTATATCCACCATATTCGACCCGTCATCTTAAATTTTTAAAATCTAACTGCAGATTCGTAATCAGCGACTTTTAATATAGTTAAAACCTTGGCATTATTAATTTTCTATGATCGTTTAAGATTAAATTCTTTCTGTGATCAATTTTTCCTGCACCCCTAAACACAAATACACCCCCTGCTTTAAGGGTGCACGCGATCAATTCGGCATAGGGCTCATTCGAAAGGGCACGGTTTAGCCTTTAATTTCTGATATATGCAAAATTTGTACCACGTCAGGGTTCAGCTCTATAATTTTTCGAAAATGGCCAAAAACGCTGTTTTTAGGGGTTTCAACCCCTTTTTTCTCGAAAACGTGACGTGATGGGACATTTTTGACCCCGGATTCGTGTTCAGCACGAAAAATCCGTTCAGAAACACCAGGTCCCGTCTTATTCGCAGAAAAAAAGTTGAAATTTGTAGACCAGTGTTATCAGTCGCCTTCTCAGCCCGTGCGTCATCCACATCACCACAGTATTTCTGCGGCGTGGGTACACAAACACCCCAACTCCTCATCGTGCATTCATATAGAGCATTTAAATTATGTAAGTATATAAACAAAAAAATTTTCCGGCGTAATGGCGAAGGGGGAAGCGATCCTGTTGGCGCTCAACCGCGGCCGTCCGCGTTTGCGCGGCACCACTGAAATACCTAAGAAGCTGAGAACAAATATGGGCATCGCATTGAAGGCTAAAAAAACGATAACCTTCAATTTCCAATAATTCGCTTATCATTTATTGGCAAAAATACCGTTCCATTTTATGCGTATACTGCGGAAGGGAATTCAACGAAGAAATACACTGTATGAAAAAATTCGTTTAAAATACATTCCATTTTATGCAAATGTATGTCTGCATACACAATTGGAATGTTTCAGTAAAATAAAGCCAGAGAAAATACTACTCATGAAATAAACCAAGCAGGCGTTGTTCCCTTTTTTTGGGAAATAAAGCCCATAGCCACTATTGCTATTTCGTATTTTTGGTGGGCACTATTTCCCCTTCGAAATGAAAATAACGCCCGCGGACTTTGTTTCTTTTTTTTTAGGAAATAAAGCCCATGGGCACCATATAAATTAGTTAAAGTTATAATATTCCGGACTTCAAAATTTTAAACAGGGACCGAAATTAAAAATTATTTTCAAATTTTCAATGAAAAAAGTCTAAACTTTCCAAATATCGTATGAAATGTTGCGATTTAAAAATTTTTGATTTGTTTTAATCGTTCAGAAGATGTAATCATATATCGAGCTATATTTTTTGATCATTTGTGATTTAACTTTACACTTTAACCCTAGAGTACTAACCATATGTTGCATACGTTAGTACTATTGATCGTCGATTCGACGATGTCTTGTTAAAACCCTGTTGTTTAAAAAATAAAAGGAAACTAAATGTTAGACACATTATTAAACTTATAAATTTGATGTTTGAGCTTAATAATAAAACAATTTTCGGGTTTATATAAATTTAAAAATATTGTTTTTTCAATATATTTCACATACGCACAGTGGTTGGTTTTGGTTTATAGAAACTTAAAAATATTGTTTTTTTCAATATATTTTACATACGCACAGTGGTCGGAGAAGCCATGTTTTACTCAAAAAATTAGAAGGGCTGTTACGATTGTACTAAAACTGCGGGATCGTAGTATTGTTGTAACGCTAAACCGAATATGCCATAAAATTTATAGTTTGACACTTGACAGCTGGCAAATTTCCCTAAAATTAATAAAGTATTTTTGAAAATACCACTTATTAAGTTGTTTGAGATGCTGATCACGAATTTTATGTCAAATTAAAACATTGACTTTTTACAGCTGTCAAATAGACTGAGTTTTTCTAAAAATAATCAAATCGTTTTTAAAATGCTACTGATAAGGGTTTTAGACACGCTAGTCACTAATTTACGTCAAACTAAACCCTTAAGAGTTTACAACTGTCAGAGAGACTGTGAATTTCTCTAGAAATAAGGAAAATTTCCCAAGAATTAAACGTACTATTTTTTAAGGCTCACTGATCTCGAGTTCTGTATCACATTAATTTTCGGTTGAAAATTGTCAAATCAACTGTCATTTGTCAGTTCAGTTATATTTGTTTAGAAAAATTTTATTTATTATATACGAGGGAACATATCTGAAATTAAATTATGATCAAATTATGAAATAATAACAGTAATTATATTTATAAATTAGGTATAGTTCGGGACGTCTGCCATATGTTCAGCCCAAACAATTTGATCTAAGCCCTAGCAGTTTTTTTAAGATTTCTTTATTTTATACGTCATTCCCAAAACTTCAGTTTTCTCATTTTTAAATAAGGTTAAAGTTAAGGTTTGAATTTTCTGGAAATTTCGCACGTCATATAGGATTTTGCATTTCGAATTTGCAAAAAATAGTTTGAAATTTGTAATGAGCCAAATGATACCAAATTTCATAAAAATTCAGTATTTTTTTATTCTTGGACGCCATTATTGGATTCGTTATTGTATTTTTGAAAATTTTCTTCAGCTTTGTTAAGACACATTTTATAAATGATATGATGCTCAATATAGAATTAATTACATTAATCTTTAATATTTTAATCCACTTTATGTTATTTGGAACAACTGCTAAAGTTGGCCTAGTGAAATAAAAATGGCCGAAAATATTTCTTGAAAAATAAGCCATGTTATTAAGGTATTGATAATTAACAGGCAAGTTTTATTATGTAATATTTCATATGAAATCATCATTTTTCATGTTCAAGAAGTAACACCAGCAATTACCGTTATATTACATTTACATTGGACCAAAATGCGTGATTTGAAATCAGTCATTTGAAGGTGTTTACACTGCTTGATCCGCATTTGCTTTGACTTCAAAGACAAACCAAGGCTTTTGTGGAACTTTTGTTTCTGAGTGCGTTCAATAAAATAGTACGGCAATTGGAACGCATTTGTTCGTGATTTTGTGTAAATGCGTCGAAATGCGTCATTCTGGAAATGTGAATTTGTATAGAGAAATGCGTGATTTGGCCTCGCATTTGAGGTTTCTCGCCCAAATGACGCATTTGGGCTGAATGTAAATGTAATATAAGGTTAAGGGGAGCACACGTGGGCTGGAAAAGCCCGTTGTGATACCATTGGCCGAAGTCATTTGTTTCTTTCCTTCCCATACTAATTTATGGGTCAATTTATTACAGTTTTAAAATATGCCTTTTTCGTGTAAAACATGGCTTCTCCGGCCACCGTATTTTGTATAAGCGTATCGAGAAAAGACTAAATTTTCTGCTGGACTTCACAAACGAGATTAAAATATGGCAAAAATGGACAAATTATACTCGTATTAATATAAAAAAACAGCGAAACTTTAATTAGAAATTCATTTTGCACATAAGACACAAGTCTCAACTTCGTTAAGATGAACTTTTACGCATCGCAATAACTTTACATAAATAAAACTCTTAATGTTTTAAATATATTTTCAGAGGCTCCAATACAAAGATGCTGCAAGGCCGTCAAGCAACTGTGACAACGAATCGGATGAAAGTTTTCCTCAAGCCGAAAAAGTCTCAGGTAAATAGTAGGTAAATATGAAACTGGGACACAAAAATGAAAATTAACATTGATATATTGAGGAGCTAGACTTAGAATTTGTGATAACTCTTTTGTTGTTGTAGTATATAAAAACGAGTTTGATCTACCTCTTCAATTACATTCAACTAAATCAGATAATATAAAGCTAAAAAGCAATAAAAAAATTAAATGAAAAAAACTACATTCACCAATTTATATTGAGCTCAATATAAATTTTGAATATAATTGTTATAAAGGCCAAAAAAAAAAATAACAAAAACAAATACCTTAAGGACGAGCACACCTAAAAGTTAAACATTCTAAAAATAGAATTATTAGCAAAAACCAACAATACCAACAACCACATGATCAAGTGAATTGCAGCGGAATAGCTGCGCTTGATTGTGTTGGCATAACAAAAATGAAAATAGTGGAAAAAAGCAAACGATAATTTACAAGGCGTACTTAGCACGGTGCATAGGCAACTGGCTGAGTCAGTGGGATCGTCGGTTCGAATCCTACTGAAAGAAGTCTGATGAGGAAATGTGGTGATTTCCGAAATAGCTATCACTTCTACCATTTTTTCAAATTATTGTTGCTTTTCCACAATAAAATTTTCATTTAAAACGGCCTCGAGCTCAATATAAATTGTTGAATATAATTGTTATAAAGACCAAAAAAAATAACAAAAAAAATGAAAAAATTACAATAAAATAAAACTAAAATATATAACGAATTTAAATGAAGTAAAATATTATAAAACAAGGTAAAATAAATTAATAATAACATGAACCAAATAATTTAGAATTAAATAAACAAATAACACTTAATATACCTAATTTGATTAATGCAAAGCGAAATAAAAAAATTAAGTAGAATAGAATAGAATAGAATAGAATAGAATAGAATAGAATAGAATAGAATAGAATAGAATAGAATAGAATAGAATAGAATAGAATAGAATAGAATAGAATAGAATAGAATAGAATAGAATAGAATAGAATAGAATAGAATAGAATAGAATAGAATAGAATAGAATAGAATAGAATAGAATAGAATAGAATAGAATAGAATAGAATAGAATAGAATAGAATAGAATAGAATAGAATAGAATAGAATAGAATAGAATAGAATAGAATAGAATAGAATAGAATAGAATAGAATAGAATAGAATAGAATAGAATAGAATAGAATAGAATAGAATAGAATAGAATAGAATAGAATAGAATAGAATAGAATAGAATAGAATAGAATAGAATAGAATAGAATAGAATAGAATAGAATAGAATAGAATAGAATAGAATAGAATAGAATAGAATAGAATAGAATAGAATAGAATAGAATAGAATAGAATAGAATAGAATAGAATAGAATAGAATAGAATAGAATAGAATAGAATAGAATAGAATAGAATAGAATAGAATAGAATAGAATAGAATAGAATAGAATAGAATAGAATAGAATAGAATAGAATAGAATAGAATAGAATAGAATAGAATAGAATAGAATAGAATAGAATAGAATAGAATAGAATAGAATAGAATAGAATAGAATAGAACAGAATAGAATAGAATAGAATAGAATAGAATAGAATTAGAATAGAATAGAAAAGAATAGAATAGAATAGAATAGACTAGGATTTTATTTATTTAATAATAATAGATTGGCGCTTACACATATGTTAGTGTTTGGCCGAGCTTATCCTCCGCCTTGTGGCGTGCGCCTTGATGTTGTCACACTAAGCGGAGGGACCTACAGTTTTACGCCGACTCCGAACGGCGGTTGTATTTTTATGAGGAGCAATTTTTTTATAAATTTTATTTATTTAGGTAGCATTAATCGCCTAAGTCGAAAAACCTGAATCCGAGAAAAAACGTTTTAAACATTTGGATTGTAATTTTAGCCATATATGGAAACTAAAATATTATCGCCTATAACTATTTAAGTAGCCTACCTGGCGAGATAGGGATTTCACGTACGCATGAAATAGGGGTTGAAGAATACGATAGCATAGATAACTCCATTCTTTCTTAAGTCGACTTAGGCGGTTATTGCTTGTGGCTACAGATATATATTAATAAAAGCTGGGCCAAATACTTTTATTTATTTTTTGATATTTGTTATTACAAATTTTTTATTTTTTATTTTTACTCTATTTTTTATTATTTTTTATTGGTTAAGTTCTTTTTGTATTGTTTAATTTGTAATATTCTGTTTTATTTTATTTATTTTAAACTCATTTTTACATTATTTTACTGTTGCACCAATTGTGAAATTTGCTAGATGTAGCGGTACGCCGCACAAAGTTTTAAAACTGCCATTTAGTGTTCACAATTCCATGGAGCTTCCATTTTTCTTCAAAGTTGATAATTTTTTTTTTTAGATGAAAGCTAATAAGCGATTTTGGAATGTTTGTTTTATTCGTATTAAATTTTTTAGTGGAAAGTGCAGAAAAGTAGCAATTTTAGAGAAAATCGATTCTCCTGTTCCAGTCAATAAATGTCACATAATAAAAACGAGTTGAAAACGAAATGAAAAAAAATTTTAAATGTTTTTTAAAAAATTGTAACCAAAATCAAAATAAAATTTGAGCTTCCAGATGTTGGGTATTCGGTTTTATAGATCATAAAATTTTAGTGTAATAAAGTACAGTTTGCAAGTGGCTAAGAGGTCGGTCGCGTTGATTTTTAATAAGTTTGTTTTAAAAGCGTTTGTTGTATTATTAAACATCAACGCGAACTCTTAGCCACTTGCAACTTGCACTTTATTATAGTGACATTTAATGATCTATAAAACTGCTTACCAAATTTTTTTATAAAAACCAAAAAACAAAAACAAATAGTTTTGTCACATCTCCTCATCAGACTTCTTTTTTCTAGCCTTTCAGCAGGGATCGAATCCGCATCATCGATGTGCAAAGTCGGAAGCGCTACCACTGAGCTATGCACACCCCGTAAGCTCTTATAGCTAATCCATTTCCTTATTCAACCTACTACTATCAATTGCTGCTGATTCGCCGCTATTTCAGCTTGACATCGTGGTGGTTTTTGTAAATTCCATACATGAAATAGATCCATTGTCAAGCTTAATAGCGGGAATCAGCTGGATTTAATGGTAGTAGATTGAATAAGGAAATAGATTAGCAACAATAGCTTACGGGGTGTGCATAGCTCAGTGGTTAGCGCTTGAGACTTTGCACATCGATGATGCGGGTTCGATCCCTGCTGAAAGTCTAGAAAAAAAGGAGTCTGATGATGATAACTTCTACCGCTTAAGCTTTGTTGGTTTTTTCATTATTCCTAAGAAACAAATCGTAGTACAAAGCTCAATAACACTATTGAAAAAAATAGTTTTGGGGAACATTTTTTTATAATACCTGTAACAGACATAAAGTATTGTTATTACGAATCGATCAACTACAATATGAGTGTCTTGAAATACCAGCTAAGTACTATGTCAGCAACATGGTTTTTATCTAATAACAATACCTTCTAAAGTTTCATAGTATTTGGCTGGTATTCTATGAAAAACACCTAGAAGTTGTCGAAATGAAAGCTAAACGATTTCCAACATTCTCATTTTGTGTCAAAAAAATTAAAATAAAGAAAATATAATTATGTTTTTGATAAAAAAATGTTTTGAATATCCAGAGAATTTTAAGAAATGAGGATTTCCAAGCGCTAGCATGTGAAATCTTGTGCATCGTTTTATGAAATGAGAGCAAAACTTACTCTTTATTCCTTACCGTGCAGAATTTTAACTTCCTGGTGCAAATACATACATACATATACAGGGTGTCCCAGAAGTAACGTGCCAAACTTTAGGGGAAGGTAGGAGGGGGGTGAGCTCACTGATAAACAAAAAATTTTCGGGTAAAAGTGTCACCGTTTTTGAAATATTTACATTTTTTCGAATTTAAAAAAAATCGTGCCTTTTCATGTGTTTTCTTTAACTGCAACTACAAACCGGGCAATACTTAGTAAATTTTTTATGTAAAATACTTCCAGATTGTTGCCTCTCCATACTCAAATGCAATGTAGTTAAAATATATTAAGGAACCATCATAAAATTAGAACTATTTCTAAATTGTTAACTTTTTGATAGTTTCTTCCCCAACTTTGACTATCTCGGGTGAAAAAAA